TTTTTTTCAGCCTTTAACCTCAAGTTCTTCTGAAATGTATTGTTCAATGTTTCATTTAATGTGAATCATTAACAGTTAACATTGCATTCTAATAAGGAATGTAAAATGATTGAACTTTCATTGATTAAACATTAAACGATGGAAAGAAACCAGTTTTTTGTTAACCAATAAAAGCCATAGGCGTGACTATCAATACTTGAAACATTGAAACTTCATGCTTTTCAATGATTATCTCATTTAGAATGCAAATCAATTCAGAAATAGAAAAATATTGATAAAGAAAATGATGTAAATGGTAAACATACCTGTGGCTATTGGTGTTAACCGGCTCGACTTTTTAACTTGTTGACGTTTCCTTCGAGTTTGTTGAAATTTATATTCCATTGTTTCCATTGCTGAACTTTTATCCGTTGGTTCAACCTTTTCCTTTGCCAATGAATGATGAACTGTACCAAAGTCAACCTTTGAACTTTCACTTTCACTAGAGTCTTGTTGATCATCTGAATCTGATTGAGTCATGGTTTGAACCGGGACAGCCCAAGATTCAGATTCATAAGATGGTGGACGAGAAAAACTGTCAATCGGAGCATTTAAAGAAGATGATCCTTTAATGGGTTTAACATAACTCTCGAGATCACCAATTTTCTTGCCAATCACGGGTAAAGTTTTACGCTGACTTCGATCTCGATGTGAAGATCTAGACATTGTTGGTGGTTGGACTGAACGACGAGCAATATCTTCAGTAGTCAATAAAAAGGGTTCCGTAAGAGTCGACACTTTATCAACACCAATCAGTAGAGGCAATATTAGAGCAGTTTTTTCCTTTAATCCAAATCTTGGTCCATAACAGTGGCTGGCATTACCTTCATCACCATCACGGTCATCCTGGTCATTTGGGTAACATTTAAACAATCCTAATCCAAGGTCGGAAAAACAACGTCTCTTGAAAGGAGCAAGGCTTTTACCGGGTTAAAGGTTGCTGCTCTTGATTGGGTTCATTTAGTGTTGGGATGATCACTGATGATACTGGGAAATAGAGATGAAGATAATGAAGGACAAAAGGTAAATGATGAGGATGAAGATGAAGATGAACATAACACTGGGTCACTTGAGGTAATAAACTCACGT